GGGGGGGGTCTGCAGAGGAAAATGCTCACCCCTGGAGGGCTGGTGGGCGTTAGGCAGTGAGCCCTGAGGGGCAAGCATGAAGGGAGGGAAACTATGTGGTTGTCTTTAGAGCTATGCAGAGGCCACGCACTGTGGCGGAAGGCGCCTGTTCGTCTGTCTTTCTGCTGTGTGCTGGGCAATCCTGGCTACCAGAAGTCTCAGGGCTTGTATACAGAAGTGCAACTAAATGTTTTTGAAGTGGAAGTGGAGACTAAATAGGCCATGTCTCCTCTTCCAGAGGCCTGATGCTGAGGCAGATTCGCTATGGAGGAGAGCTCCCATAGGGTCAGGGTCAGGGAGGGAGACCCGTGGTGCAGGCTGGCCCAGTCCTCCCCCAAGCAGCCCTGCTCTGCAGAGGGACAGCGGCTGCATGGATCAGGTCAGCAGCCGGAACTTTTGCCACTGAATTAAGCAAGTTCTCTTCTGAAGGAAGAGCTGTGTGGGGAGCCAGCGTGTCACCGGTGAACCCAGGAATCGGGGTGTGGAGGAAGATGTGGGGCCAAAGAGCAGAGCTGGCCAAAGCTATCTGCAGGCAAACCTTGGAAAGGCAGCTCGGTGGGCACAGTGCCGCACACCTGTCATCAGAGCACTTGGGAGGCTGAGGCGGGAGGATTGCTTTGAGTTTGTGGCCAGCCCAGGCTACATAAATGAGTTCCAGGCCAGCCTGAGCTGCACGCTGAGACCCTGTCTCAAAAAGAAGCGAGCAGCTCAATTCCTAATGGCTCCTAGAGGTCACACCTTCTAAGCTGGGTTTACTGTGTCTCAGCTTTGCACACGTTTCTGCCTTAGAGGCACTTCTGAGTGGGTGTGCCTGGGCAGGGGCTGAGCGCTGCTGCTGGTGCCGGTCCAGTCGGTGGCTGTTGGTAGCATCAGAGCCCCAGAGGAAATCGGAGAAGCAGATTTCCTAACACAGACCCAGAGTCTACCCCCTGCCCCGCCCTGTAATTGAAGGTTGCAATTACATAAATTCTCATATTTGAGTGTGTGTACCCACATGCACGCGTGCATGCATATGTGCATGTATGAAGCGTACTGGATGTGACCTAAATCCCCTTGTACTAAATGATCAACTTGAACACAACAGGCCGCGTCCGCATGCACAGGTTCACGTGCCAGCAGACATTACCTTCCTCCAGCTGTTGGACCCAAAAGTGCTTACGGGATGGATCGCGCCTGCCAAGGCCTTCCCGCCTCCAGCATTCCTGAACCCATGAGGTCACCGCCCTCCGCTCCCCCTCACGGTTTTGTGTGGCGTCAGCCTATTTATCCAGCCGCTGTTGGTCTGAAAAATTCCATCCAGATGTTTTGATGCCCCAAGCTCCAAAACTGCCTGCTTATAGGAAACCAGGGCCAGTGAACGGAGATCAGGACAGTGAGGCAGGGAGGCTGAAATGTGGTGTCTTAAAGGGACCTTCATGCTTCCCTCCTTCCAAACCTCAACTTTTTCTTTTCTCAAACCTCCTACTTTTCATAGGAATGTCCTTGAAAAAAGTCTCTTTTCTGAACTACATGATAAGCTGTCCCCACTTAGAGCACGTAAAGCACGCCAGCCCTGTGGGGCTCTGCTGCGGACCAGTCCACCCTGGTTTGTGCCTGAAACACACAGCGAGACCCACGGAGAAGCCGCTTGCCTGTAGCCACCCTGGGGCCTGACTGTGGCGCTGGTCCCGTGGTGGAGGCCTCAGATCACTTGGAACATGTTTGATGATCTGGGTGGCAGAAATGCCCCCTGGGGAGCTGTGACACAAGGAAGGCCAACTGTTCCGTGTGGCCTCGTGTCCACTCTGCTGGACAGTTATGTGGCCTGGCCCACTGGTCCCTGCTCAGAGTCCATGGCCGCGGGCTTGCCCACAATGTCGGGATGAAGCTGCCTCAAGTTGGCTGATTCATGCTTGGGGGAGACCTTAGGAAGCCACTTCCTCCCGGCCTCTGCTCACACTGGCAGCCGGCATAAAACCCGATTCTTTGCTCTCCGATGCTCCATCTTGGCCAAGCCCATTCATGCCTGACACAAAGCTTGCGCTCAGGGAAGGCCAGCTCTGCTCGTACGCGGCAGCCCACGGTGGCCAGAACCAGGGGAGCAGTTCTCTCTCGGTGCTGCCTCACCCCAGCCATCCTGACAGGAGGATGTGGCACTGCTCCCCAGAGGGTCCCCTCAGCCCTGGTCAGAGGGGCAGAATGAGCAGCCCACAGTTGCAAAGTGAGGCCTGTGTGTCAGGCCCCGCTGAGAGCTTTGGGTTATGTGATCCGATTTTATCTCAGCAAGGGATTTGCTTAAAATGCATTTTTAACAGATACCTGAAAACATAGAAATCCTCGTCCTTGTGGGGGTGCCAGGCTGCGGTTCCGACCCACGGGAATACGGTACGGTGTGTGCATCCAGATGCATGCCCGCTGACACTTAGAATGTCCTGACCATATAGACATTCAGACTCCTTCCTTCTGGCTCTCCAAAGTGAGCAACACCACACTGCGAGCTGCAGGCAGCCTCCTGTGAGCCAGAAAGTCACAGTCCTGAGGCACAATCACAGATGGAGAAGTGGGGCTCAGCGGCTGCCCGCCGCGCTGTTCCCAGCCCCAGTCACCCATGCTCTGTCTCCGAGGGCCGCGCCCCAGGCTCCACATAGGAGTGGGACCGGCCGGCACTTGCCTTCCTGGGCCTGGCCCATTTACTGCACATAGCGCCCTGCTTCACGCATGTTGTCCAAGTGACAGGGCTTTGCCTTGCTGTGACTGTGCCATGTCCCCTGGACATGCACGCCAGGTGTTCTTCGGGCAGTCATCGGTTGGTGGACACTTCTGTCATCTCCGTGTCGTGGCCGCTGTGAGCAGAACTGCAGCCAACTTGAGACAGCAGCTGTGCTTTCCTGTGCCGACCTCATTTCCTCCAAGTGCGCACCCAGCAGGTGGGACTGCACCTCCAGGTGCGCACCCAGCAGGTGGGACTGCACCTCCAGGTGCGTACCCAGCAGGTGGGACCGCCGGGTCACGTGGTGGTGGTGCTCTAAGTTGTCACAGATCCTCCTTGCGGCTTTCCATGGCTGACCCACCTTCCATTCCCATCTTTTTTTTGCATTTTTGCCAGCATTTCTTACCTTTGATCTTTTTTTAAATTTTTTATTTTATTTTGGTGGAACTGGGGGTTGAACTCAGCCCTTACACTTGCCAGGCAAGCTCTTATTCTACTGAACAATCTCCCCAGCCCAAACGTTTATTTATTTTTTTATGGTGCTGGGGATTGAACTCACAACCTTGCGCTTGCCAGGCAGGCACTTATTCTATTGAGCTGTCTCCCCTCCTTTGATCTTTTTGACAATCATTATTTCTGAAATATGGTCCTTATGGCTTGGATCTGGAGTACCCCTCAAAATTCTCCTGTGCTCATATGTGGGCTTTTGGGAGGGGGATGAGGAAGGGAGAGGTGGCTGCCACTCCCTGGGCAGCTGGCTCAGCAGACTCACCATGTGCTGGCGTCACTGGGGGCGACAAGGACCGAGGCCATGGGCCTAGTAGAAAGAGGTGAAGTGTGGCGGAGGCCACCTTGGGAACTGTCCCTTGCCTCTGGCTCTGGCTCTTCTGCCTTTCCGCTCCCTGCTGCCATGTGAGCCACTTTCCTCTGCCTCAGTGTTTCTGCCTCGCAGAACAAAAGCTGCTTCCCCTGCTCTGTGCTTCCTGTTAGCGACACCTCCACCAGGGCAAGCAGTGGTGGAGCCAGATCTCTGTAGACAGAGACCCCAAAACTATGAGCCCAAATGAATCTTTCCTCCTCAAAGCTGTTACCTTCAGGTGTTTTGTCACAGAGGCAGAAGGCTGACTGATACATAGACAGGGCACACTGTCTGTGTTCCGATTTGCATTGCCCTGGGGATTAGCGTAGGATGATGCTAACCTTGCCAGCCCCTCGCTCAGCAGCAGTCCAAGTTGCCTCACTGCCTGAAGGATGAGGCCCTGTGTCCCTGGACCTCTTTACTGCGTTTGTCTGCACAGCTCCTTCTGGCCTGGGTGCCTTCCTGCACCCTCTCCCT